GCCTATGAAATGTGATTAAATCAAATTAAATAAATCTGTAGACTAATATAAACTAATAAACTTCCTACATCTATAGATTAAAAAAAGAAAAAAAAGAACACACTAGAGGGACCAACAAATGGTGTAATGACTCCCATATAGCTAACTGCAGTTCAAGTCGAGGACCAGTGCACATGTGCATTCATCTCTAAGATCCTGAAAGGAGAATGAAGGAAAAGGGATTGTAGCATGGCCCTTCCCCCTGGGGCGGTGATTTCTCACTTTCTGTCTCTCTGGCAAGTGCACACACCCTATAGAAAAAAATCTATCAAAAAAAAAAAAAAAAAAAGGAAGAGGAACACATTATAAATGATTACCATACAATAAAAGAAAACAAATCTATCATAAATTCAACAAATTCACTGAAATAATTAGCTATTTAAAATAATCAGCAATATAAGAATTCAAAGAAGAAATAAATAGTGGGAAAAAACACACAAGGCTAAGGAAATAGTTATGTACATTTTTGAAAAATAAACTGGCAGGACTCAGTAAAGAAGTGGGGAGGGGGGGAAAGCAATACTGAAATGAAGGACTCCCAAAAGCAATGACCCTGTAGAACACAAAAAGCAGCAAAGAGGAGGCAAAGACATGTGAGCAATATGAAACACAAATAATAATTTTAAAAGGATAACAGAGGAAAACAGAGTTTAAGATAAGCAAAGGCAAATCTGGAAACACTAACAGAAAGGAAGAGCCTCCATCTTGTTCTCAGATAGAGATGAATTCCAGGGAAAATTCCAGGGACATGACAAGGACACAATCCAAAATGAATCCAGATGCTATTACTACCATTGCACTAAATTTCATAACATCACAAATTTATAAATAGTAACTATAGGAAAATACAGATAGAAATACATTTGTGGTAGGAAACTAAATGGTATCCTTCAGTTTCATGAAATAAAGTGGAAAAAATGAGTAAGACTTAAAAATCTTGTAACTATAAGATATTATTGAGGGGCTGGCAGGTGGTGTGGTGGTTAAAGTGCTGGATTCCCACATGGCCGACTGTGGTTCAAGTCCAGACCTGATGACTTACTTTCTCACCTACCATCTCTCTCTCTGTCTGGTCAAATTAAAAATAGTATTACAAAACGATAAATTATAATTCTAAAAAGTGATTTTATTGATATCAAATTCTGTATTTTAGATACAGAATTACTTTCAAATGCCTATGTAACACTCAGAAATATTAAATATAAAATTTGCAAAACAACAAAAAACCCCTTAGTGGTTAAGCCAGCTAGATCCTACATGGTCAGTTATATGGTGAGTCCAACCCAGTAGCTAAAAACATGCCTGGCACATGTGCATGCATTCCAAAATCCTGAGGGGGGGGGAACCCAAATCCTAAGAGCAAGAAATTTTTACATGAAAATCTAAACACTTAGCAATGAAAATGTGGTAAGTTATAAAGATTTGGGGGTAGAGGCAGCAGGTGGCATAGTGGGTAAAGTGCTGGACTCCCACATGGCTGGTGGTTCAAGTCCTGGACCCACCAGCTTGAAACATGCTGAGTGTATGTGTGAACACATGCCGAGAATCCTGAGAGAAGAATGAAGAAGAGATTGTGGTGTGGCCATCCCTGCTGGGGGGTGATTCCTCACTTTGTCTCTTTGGTGAGTACATTCACACTATAGCAAAAGTCTCTCAAAAACATAGTATAATTTGAGGGTAAATTTAATGTTTTGAGAAATTCATTCTTTTCATTTAGATTTTTATTTGAAAAATAAATTATTTTTATTTGCAAGATAAATTATTTTTCTAAATTGCTTTCCAGTACTATTTTTCTATCACAGCTTCTGATAAACAGTATTTTTATTTATATTTTTGCAATATTTTACTTTTTATTTTGACTTAGCTGACTTTAGAGTGGGCTGTTAAGTAAGAAAATAAGTGTTTACTTCATGTGTTTTCCTGGGATAAACTTTTATTTACAAAATTATTTAATTTTAATTCTTCTTTTTTTTTGAGAGGTTTTTGCTATATGGCAGGTGCTCACCAGAAAGGCAGAGAGACAGAAAGCGAAAAATCAGCCCCCCGTGGGGGATGGCCACATCGTAATCCTTTCTCCTCCATTCTCTTCTCAGGATCTTGGGCACACACGCTCATGTGCCCAGTGTGAGTTTAAGTCACCAGATTCGGGACTCGAACTGTGGTTGATTACATGGGAGTCCAGCGACATAGCCATTACACTAACTGCTGGTCTCTTCATTCAGAGTTTTGAACCATTTGTTCTCTTACCAATTTCTTTTTTTTTGTTTGTTTTTAATTTGCCAGAGTGTATATGCTTGTCAGAGAGAGACAAAAAAGGTGGGTAAGAAAACACCCTGCCCCCTATGGAGCATGGTCATGCCACATTCTCTTCTTTAATTAGGGAGTCTGGGCATGTACACACACATATCCAGTGTGTCCTTCAAGCTGCTGGGTCTGGAACAGAATTGCACATTCATTCACACGGGATCTAGTCACGTGAACCACCACACCAGGCTGGGTGCAAGACTTGAACCAAAGAGTTAGTCACATTGGATCCAATTGCCTTAACCACCAGACCACCAGATGGCCCCACCACACAAATTTTAACATATAGTATTTTAGGGCCAGCAGGTGGCATAGTAGTTAAGACAATGGATTCTCAAATGGCTGACCCATGGTTCAAGTTCCAAACCTGGCAGCTTAAAAATTTAAAAAAAAAACAAAAACAAACAAAAAAAAACTTTAAAAAGTTATACTTTATATATTAACATTTTTAATACCATTATTATTATTATTACTGTAGTTTTTGCCATAGGGGAGTGTGCACACCAGAGAGACACAGAGGGAAAGTGAGAAATCACCCCCCAAGAGGGGATGGTCATGCCTCAATCCCTTCTCCTCCATTCTCATCTTAGGACTTTGGGCAAACATGCAATATATGTACCCAGCATTATTTTCAAGTCACTGGGTCTGGGACCCGAACTACAGTCAGTCACGTGGGAGTCCAGGGCCATAACCATTACTGTGGCGTGATGGTAAGGGTTCCAGACTCTCACATGGCTGACCATGGTTCAAGTCCCGGACCTGGTGGCTTGCTTTCTCACTCTCCCTTTCTGTGTATGTGTGTGTATTTCTCTCTGGTCAAATTAAAAAATAATAACGATGAATGGAATTAAATAAATCATTCTTTAAGAAAAAAGGATTAAATAGATATTAGTAATTTTTGTAATTCTTTGTCTACTATTCCCTTTATAAATATAAACAATCCTTTATCATCCCTTTAAATATTTTTCATTCTAAATTCCTTTTGATCTGTTCCTAAATTTACAGCTTTAGCTTTCTTTTGGTTCCTGTTTGAGACAATCATTCTTCACTCCTTCTTTTTTGAAGAGAGAGATTTCTGCTATAGGGTGTGTGTGCTCACCAAAGAGACAGAAAGAGACAGAGAGACAGAAAGTCAGAAATCACTCCCCCCCCACAGGGGGATGGTCACACCACAATCCCTTCTCCATTCTCCTCTCAGGATTTTGGGTACACACACATGCATGCACACGCACCCGACCTGAGTTCAGGCTGCTGGATCTAGGACTCAAACTGCAGTCAGCCACATGGGAGTCCAGTGATACAACGATTATACTACCTGCTGGACTCTATTCTTTTATTTTTAAATGAAGAGAGAAGCAGCACCTGATAGCTGAGAGTTGGCCAAGTACCATCAGTTAAGCCTCAAAGTTACTAGGAGCCAACCTGACAGGATCAGTTTAATCATGCTATTCTCCATGGTGTTAGATAAAACCAATCTGGTCCAGCAGGTGGCATAGTGGTTAAGGCACCAGATTCCCACATGGCCCCCTGTAATTCAAGTCTTAGACCCAGCAGCTTAAAAATCACAACAAATAGATAAATGAATAAAGATTTTTTTAAAAAATCTTACAGGACACCAACATCAAACAAGGTCATTTTCTCACCATCCTGATGCAAAAAAAGCAGAAACTACTCTATAATCATGTCTGAGCACACACAAAAATCATAACGTTGTTCGAACCACAAATATCAACAACATTCTCTTATTCTGGATAATGTAAATGACTATTGCTTTTTTACCAATTATAGCTCTAGCTTCACTCCATGCTCCCTATCGTCTAGATAAAAATTACTAAAATACATAATCATAAAGGTGCTCAACAGTGGGTCAGCAGTTGGTGTGGTAGTTAAGGTACTAGACTCTCAAATGGCCAACTGCAGTCTGAGTGCCAGGCCTGGTGGCTTGGAAATCAGGACAGGCATATGTGCATGTTTGCCCAAAATCTAGAGAAAGGAATGGAGGAGAAAGGACTGTGATGTGGCCATCCCTCTAGGGGCTCATTTCTCATTTTCCCTCTCCCTGTCTCTCTGTGCTTCTCCTGCGAGTGCATGTGCCCAATGGCAAATAATAAAAAATAAAAGATTGCTCAACAGCAACAAAAGTAGAAGTTCACAGGGATCAGCAGTTAGTGTAATGGCTTTGTTGCTAGACTCCAAGGTAGTCAACCATGGTTCGAGTCCCGGACCCAGTGGCTTAAACACATTGAGCACAAGATCCCAAGAAGAGAATGGAGGAGAAGGGATAGTGGCATGGCTATCCCCCCCAGGGGGTGATTTCTCGCTTTCTGTCTCTCTGTCTCTTTCTGTCGAGCACATGTGCCCCATAGCAAAAATCTCTCCAAAAAAATTAATAAATTTTTTAAAAATCACTAGTGTGATGACAAAATAAAAAGTTTTCCTTGATAGTCCACCTCTCCATTATCACACAGTTGGTCTCCAGAGGACCATTACCATCTCATTACTCATTCTCGACAGGAAGATTGAGATTTGTGTAAGGAAAGGCAAGTATGGAGTCTAGATGGTTCCTATGTCCCATCTGCTTCTGCCCTGAGATTGTGGTGACAGATCAGTTATCTACTCCTGGGATGCATTCCCATCCCTAGACTCTATCTCCTCACCTCACATGAGCTGCCAAGATCTTCTGGAGCCTGGGCTGGGCATTTCCGGGGGGAGGTCCAGTTAGCTGGCATGGCCACACTAGGTCTCAACCTTTGTTCTCTCAGGAGCCTAAAGCTTCTTTGTCATTTGTGCATTCAAGCAGAGCTTCTGGGAAGAAGTGGGTTAGAATCTGGTAGACGATCTCACCCAGGGGGTCCCCTAGAGACAACAAGAAACCTGGAAAGATAAAGTCCACACAGGCATTTAACATTTACTGTAAGCACTTCCTGTGTACATCACCTTGCAGAATCCTAAGCTTTCTAGAAACCACAAAACAGTGGTTCTCAAACTTGGGTATATATCCAAATCACTGGAAGGGCTTGATCAAACAGTTAAAAATTCTTAGCCTTGGGGCCAGCAGGTGGTATGCTGGTTAGGGTTCTAGAACCACATAGTTGACCCCTTGGCTCAAGTTATGGATCCAGCAGACTGAAAAACACACTGGGGGGCTGGTAGGTGGTTTGGTGGTGAAGGGTACTAAACTCTCACATGGTTGACTGAGAAAGCAAGCTGCCAGGTCTGGACTCAAACTACACTTTCCCTCTTCCTCTCTCTTTCTCTCACTCTGTCCCTCTCTGGTCAAGTTAAAATAAATAAATAAAGTTAAATAAATAAATAAAGTTAAATAAAAATAATTCTTTTTTTTTAAAAAAAAAGGACAAAAAGGGACTGGACTCCCATGTAGTTGACTGCAGTTTGAGTCCCAGATACAGTGGCTTAACCTCAATGCCAGATGCATGTGTGTGCATGCCCAAGATCCTGAGAGGAGAATGGAGAAGGGATTGCAGTGTGGCCATCCCCTGCTTCCTGTCTCTCACTATCTTTCTGGTGCGCACATGTGTCTTATAGCAAAAAAACAAAACAAAACAAAAAAACTCTCCAAAAAATAAAAAATAGGAAAAAAAAATCACACTGGATATGTGTACACCCAAAATCCCAAGAGGAGAATGGAGGAGAGGAGACTGTGGCATGGTCACCCCCAGCCCAGTCAAGTGATTTCTCACTTTCCCTCTCTCTGTCTCTCTCCAGTAAGCGTATGTGTCCTATAGCAAAAACTTAAAAATCCCAGTTTCTTTAAATTTTTTTTTTTACTTTTGTTTAATTTTAACTAATTAATTTATTAATTAATTTATTTAAATTTGACCAGAGAGAGGAAAAAAGTGAGAAAGCAAGCTGCCAGGTCTGGGACATGAACTGCAGTCAGCCATATGGAAGTCCAGCACCTTAACCACCTCACCAGTTGCCAGCCCCTATCCTAGTTTCTAATTCAAAAGATCTGAGGTCGGGCCTAAGAATTCATTTCTAACCAGTACCCCTGTGATACTGACGCTGTTGGTTCAGGGACCATACTTTGAGAACCAGTACTGTGAAGAACATATAAAGTTTTATAAAATCTGAATTTTGGTAAAAGTGGGAAAACTTATGACACTTGGAGTAATATTACTGTGGATTTGAACTATAGCTCAGCTAACTTTCAGCTATGAGAATATGAAGAAGTTACATCCTTTTTTTTTTTCTCAAAAGTGAGTATGAAAATGTCTACATCATAGTTATGAAAATGAAATGAGATGATGTTTGTAAAGTACTCAGCACCTCCCTGGCACACAAGAATCATGCAATAAATATCAGAAATAACCATGACACTAGAATAACCATCAGACACTAGAATCTAACATAAAAAACAATATAATTAAAACAAGTAAATCAATAAATATACCAGAAGCTATTGATGTATATATTTGAGAAAAGTGCCATTCAGCTAAATATACACAAGACAATCACTGCATAAACGACACTGATAGAACTGGCTACCTGTGTGAAATAAAGCACATTAGATCTTCATCACAAACTCTTCAGAAGAAAAATTCCAGCAAGACTGAATATTTAAACATATATATTTTTAAAACTCCAAAGAATACTAAAGTAAGTTTAAGAAGTACATGTTTGTGTAACATTGTGGTAGAGTGAGAAGGATCTTATTACACATGAGAGTAAACCCAGAAACTGTAATAGAAAAAAACATTTTTTTTTTAAAGAGAATTTTGCTATTCGGCATGTACACTCTCAGAGACAAAAAGTGAAAAATAACCCCTGGGCCATATCACAATCCCTTCTCCATTCTCCTCTTGGTATTTTGGGTGCGCAAGTACACACACACACGTGCGCCTGGTGTGATTTTCAAGCCACCAGGTCCAGGACTCAAACCTTGGTCAGCCACATGGGAGTCCAGTGCCTTAACCATTATACCACATACCTTCAAACACAAATACTTTTGACTAAATGATATTCCCTAATTACATATGAAAATACACCATATATACAAAAATGAAAAAATATATACATACAAAAATTTTTCAAGACTTAACAATGAGTCATTACTGATGGGAAGAAAAATCTAGTAATCAAGGCCAGCAGTTGGTGTAGTGATTAAGGCACTGGACTCCCACACAGCCAACCATGGTATGAGTCTTGGACCTGGTAGCTTAAAACACGCTGGCTGTGGGAACCAGCAGTTAGCGTAATGGCTATGTCGCTGGATTACCACGTAGTCAACTGTGGTTCTCGTCCCCGACCTGGTGGCTTAAAACTCACGCTGGGCGCGTGTGCGTGGGTGCCCAGGATCCTGAGAGGAGAATGGAGGAGAAGGGATTGCAGTGTGACCATCCCCCCTGGGGGGTGATTTCTCACTTTCTGTCTCTACGTCTCTGTCTGTCTGTCTGGCAAGCGCACGCGCCCTATAGCGAAAACCTCTCAGAAAAAACAAACAAACAAACAAACAAAAACATGCTGGTTGTATATGCATGTGTGCTCAAAATCCCAAAAGAACTGAGGAGAAGGGCTTGCAGCATGGCAATCCTCCTGGTGGTGGGGGGGTGATTTCTCGATTTCTCTCTCTGTGTTTCTCTGGTAAGGGCACACACCCTAGAGCAAAAATCTCTAAAATATTTTTTAAATAAATAAAAAATAAAAAAGCAGATGGCATAATGGTTATGTCACTGGACTCCCAAGTAGTCAACCACAGTTTGAGTCCTGGACCTGGCAGCTTAAAACTTATGCCAGCACTTACGCATGTGTGCACAAAATCCCAAAAGGAGAACACAGGAGAAGGGATTGTGGCATGGCCATCCCCGCCAGGGGGTGATATCTTGCTTTCTGTTTCTCTGTCTCTCCAGTGAGCACATGTGCTCTATAGCAAAAAACTCTCTTAAAGCAACAATAATAATAATAATCTAGCAATGACTAAGTAAAAAAAAAAAAAAAAAAGCCAGAAAAAAACTAGGCAAAGGATATCAACAGCCGCAGAAAATTTAAATAGCAATTAGCCAAAAAGATGCTAACTTTACTAATAGAAAAATACATTAGAGCCATTAGATATAATTTTCCCCAAGAATTGTAAAAACTTTTAAAACAATATACTGAAAAGCATTTATACTGAAAACGGGCTACTTTATTAATTGGGGAAACTATGATTTCTTTTGAGGTATGTATCATATTCTATAATTAAAAATACATAATAACTATTCCCAAGAACATAGTTTCAAACATTGACGTTTAAAGCAGAAGCCAGGACCAGCAGTTGGCATAATGGCTATGTCGCTGGACACCCATGTAGTCCACAGAGGCTTGAGTCCTGGACCTGGTGGCTTAAACTCACAAGGGGCGCGTGTGCATGCATGTCCAAGACCCGGAGAGGAGACTGGAGAAGGGATTGCAGCGTGGCCATGCCCCCTGGGGGGTGATTTCTTGCTTTCTGTCTCTTTGTCTCTCTCTGCCTTTCTGGTGAAAGCACACCCCCCTATAGCAATAAAACCTCTCCAAAAAAAAGCAGAAACCAACAGGACAAGTGAACAAATCACCTTTCAGTGTGAGTAATCTACCTTCCTCTGTAATTAAGGAGACAAACTAATCTGTGAGATTGATATACATATATAAATATATATGTAAAAATATATAAAACATATGCTTAATTAATATGTATTACAACAAATTAGAGAACATAGGTTGCTTTTATGTAATAGGTGTGACATTTATGAAAAGTGACCGTGAACTAGGCAATAAAGCATTTTTCAACTGCATTATCCAGAGGCAATATTTGAAACAGAACATGAACTTTCAAGAAATCCACAGGACAAAGACAAAAGGAAATGAAATCTTTTAAAAATTTAGATTTGAATTTCAGAATATGCCACACACCAAAGCTTGTAAATCTTTGTATTAAAGAAGGCTGAAAATTAAAGAGCTCAACCTTCAACTCAGTTTAGAAAGCTAACTGGTCACATACCGTCCCCCGACCCCATAGCTAACCCTACAGGCATTCAATCAGACCGCGGATTCCCATCACTTACCCCAAATCCCAGTCATTCATCTCAAAGCACCCTCGGATCACCGACCGGAGACCCCGTCACAATCATCAGCGGACGCCACACACTTGTCTTCCCATCGCTAAACTAAGACACGACCATCACTAACTCCGTGACAACGCTCCTTAACGGAACCCCCCCTCTCCCGAATGCCTAATTAGGACCAACCCAAATCATCTCAAGGACCCCCTCAGCACTAAAATACGTAAATATTCTAATACAGTTGGGAAAAACCGCTCTAAGGTCATTTCCGCTTCTGGCCTGACTTGCAGCGCAGCCCCGGCGCGTTTCGGGTTGCGCATGCTCTGAATGACCTTGGACGCCACGAGCCGCCAACAGTCGGCGTGGCGCAGACACGTCGTCGGAGACGTGGAAGGTGGGAGGAGCGACCGCGCAGAGAACATGGCCGCGCCCATGGGCGTTTCCTTGTGTGAGCCGCCATCTTGGGTGAGTATCGATTCCGTAAAGCCCAAGAATCTGCCTACTTCCGGGTTTCCTAGCGTTAGTCAGGGATCGTCACATACAGTGCAGGAATGTGGCCCTTCCCTGAATAGGCTTCTGGAGGAGGAGGATACTGGGGCTTTGATCTGAAGCTCTGTGTTCTCTCTAGAAGAGCTACGTTTCCCCTCTGGAGGTAGTACACTGAGAAGAACGTTTATTAGCTGGGAGAAAACGCTGGGAAACAAAGCAGCCCGGGATGAAAAATCACCCAAGCAGGGGAAAAAACCACCGGGAGATAAGGGGAGAAATCAGGATGGTACAATCCGCTTTCTGGAGAAACGTCAGGATGGAGCCTGTTCATGGGTGAAACCACGCAACCGGACACAGACGTCAGAATGGGTGTTATGCTGCAGGAAGTGCAGTACATCCTTTAATGGGAGAAACTACCTTGAGAAAGGAGTAGGTATAATCCTCTCCTGGGAGATACCATAGGAGGGGGGAGATAAATCAATCTTCATTGGCCTCCATCGTGTTGTCATATGTTAAACTACACTAGGCAGCAATAATAAAAATAATAATGGTCTTTGATATGGCCAACTTGTGACTAAAAGCACCTAAAGAAAACTTTGGTATTTTTATTTACTTGTCAATTAAAATGTAACTAAGAACAACGTCCTTACTACGTCAATAAAAACGCTTCCCTTAGCTTCTCCTACAAGGAAGTTCTGAAGCAGGTATCACTTCTCTCCCTCTCACTTTTGTGAGTGGATTGGGGAGTTGTAAAGGTAGTTTCTTTCATCTGGTGAAGTCTGAAACATTCTTCAAACCCCAGCTTAGATGTTGCTTGTGCCAGGAATTTCTACCTGACAGTGGTGGAGGTTCTATGCCCCACTGAGAATGTTCAGTCCCAGCAGGTAGGGGTGTGTGTGTGTGGTGGGGGAGGGGTGTTGAGGGATTGGGTTTATGCTCTGATGTGGGCATGTTGGGTACCTTTTATGTCACTCTCTGGGACTCTGCTTATTCCAAGTTTTTGTCTCAGGAAAATTCTGTGGAAATCCATTAGTAAACATACATTTTATCAGAAGCATAAAAGTTACTGTTCATTTTGTTGCTAGTTGTAATGTCAGAAAGAAGACAACTTATCTTTTTAAAAAATAATTATTTATTTAATTTAATTTATTATTTAATTTGCTACAAGGAATGGATGTTTACCAGAGAGAGAGAGTGAGAAAGCAAGCTGCCAGGTCTGGGACTCAAACCGTGATCTACCATGTGGGGATGCAGTGCCTAAACCACCACACCCTCTGCTGGCCTGACAACTTATCCTTTTTTTTTGAGATATTTTTGCTATAGGGTACGTCTGCTTGCTAAAAAGAGTGACAGAGACAGAGAGAGAGAATGTAGGATGGCCATGGCATAATCCCTTCTCCTCCATTCTCCTATTGAGATTTTGGGCACAAACGCACATGTACCTGCCGTGAATCTCAAACCACAGAGTGCCGGACTCCCACAGAGGTTGGCCACATGGGAATCCAGTACCTTAACCACTATGCCACCTGCTGGTCTCACTCTATATTTAAAAAAAAAAATTGTGTATATACTTTTATTTATTATTATTATTTTAATTTGCTATAGAATGTATGTGCTCATCAGAGAGAGAGAGAGAGACAAAGTGAGAAAGCAAGCTGCCAGGCCCAGGATTTGAATTGTGATTGCCATTTGGTAGTCCAGCGCCTTAACCACCACGTCACCTGCTGACCCCACCCTATATATATTTAAAAGATAGGTGTGGGGGAAACAGGTGGCATAGTAGTTGGGATGCTATATTTCCACATGGCCTACTGTGGCTCTGAAGTCCAGATCTGCAGCATGACTATGCTCTATTGGAGGGTGCTTTCTCTTTCTCTGTTAATTAAAATCATATATGTGTATGTGTGTGTGTGTGTGTGTGTGTGTGTGTGTGTGTGTGCGTGTGTGTATAGTGATTATATATGAGAAGAGAGAAAATTTGACCTCATAGTTTCTTTTTTAAAGAATTATTTATTTAATTTTTCTTCTTCTTATTTTTTTAATTTGCACTCACCAGAGAAAGATGGAGAAAGAGAGAGGTGTGAGGAAGTTAAGCTGCCAGGTCTGGGATTCGAACCACAGTCACCCATGTGGGAGTCCAGTGCCTCAGCCACCACACCACCTGCTGGCCCACCCCACATTTTCTTAATGTAAAACTAATCACTAGGGGACCAGCAGGTGGTGTGGTGGTTGAGGCACTGGATACTTCCACATGGCCTACCACACAAAAACCTCTCAAAAAAAAAATTACAGTGCTCGATGTGAGAAAAAAGGACCCTGTGGGCTGGCCTTGTAGTCTAGTGGTTAAGTGAGCTGGAGCCCATATAACCAACCCTTTTGGAATACTGTTTCTGAAAGCTGAAAAACCCCAGGGCACACGTGTGTGTGTGTGTGTGTGTGTGTGTGTGTGTGTGTGCCCAAAATCTTGACAGGAGGGGAAAATGGAGGAGAATAGATTTGCAATGTGACAATGCTTTATTGAAGGCTGCTTTCTCTCTTTCTGTCAATTAAAATGATATACAAATATATAAAAATAGAATTATATATTATATATAGTATATTACATATGATATATATTATAAATTAAGTATTACAAATATTAAGTATATTATACATATAACCTTTATATATGATGAGGGAGAAAAATTCATGCTACATTTTCTTAATGTAAAACTAATCACTAGGGGCCAGCAGGTGGCATATTAGTTGGGGTATTGGACTCCCACATGGCTGACCACAGTTTGAGGCCCAGAGGAGATAGCTTGTTTTATTGCTTTCTCACTCTCTCTCTATCTATATCTCTCTCTGGTGAGTGTATGTGCTGTGTAGCAAATTTTTTAAAATAATGGTGATAAATATAATTGAATATATCTAAAATTCCCCACTAGTCACTATGTTCCTTCTTTCTTAGCTTTTTGTCCTACTGCATATATGTTATACATACTTATTATCCATATATGGTATATATATATGTGTTATCAGAAATATATTTATATGTCTTATTTTCTTTCTTTTAATTGCCAGAGAGTAGAAACACTCCTTAGTGAGAGAGAGAGAAACAGGGAAAGGGAAAAAGCACCCCTTAGTGGAATGTGATCATACTCTTGTGGACAGAAGTCTGACTGCTTTTTCCTGTTTTCCCAAAGTCCTTTCAAGAGAGCCTAGGAAGAGTCACACCCAGAAACATTAACAGACCATTTTTCCCCCCATTTAACAGGGTTCTTCCTAAATCCTGTTCCTGGCATAGTATCTTTGAGATGTGTATTCAACTTGTTACAGTATATTATTTTGCTAACCTTCCCAAGGCACAGAACTTCCCTTTTCTTGAGATGTAGATTAAGCATTTCTTTGTAAATCTCTTCCCAGGACACAAATCTTCCCTTCCAATCATCAGCCTAGGAATTGTGGAATCCACCTATAACCTACAAGCCTCTCCTCTTCCACATGTTCTGCCTTTTCGGGCTAGCCCAGTGGAAAATCTCTTCACTAAATTTTGTCTGTCAATCTCAAAAACAAAAGGAACCCCTGAATGTGATCACCTCGAGAAAGGCATGTATGCCTCTTCTCTGGGCCTAGGTCATTCATATTTGGCTTGGAAATAAACCACATTAATTATTAATTATTACAGTTGGTTGTTTGCCGTCAACACTATAATCCCTTCATTTCTTCATCCTCTTGGGATTTGGGACACACACACACACACACATACACACACACACACACATAAATCCAGTGTATTTATTAAACTGCTGGGACTAAGATCCCAGCCTCAGTGGCCCATGTTGGTTTTAGCTCCCTTAACCACTAGTTTATGAAAAGAGTCCCATATGTTTTTTTATTGTTGTTGTTCCAGGCTTGACTGAGATTTACTAAAGTAGTTATAAAATGTGAACTGTTCACAACAAGATTTGAGTGGGGTGATAGTTTATAAACATTTTTTGCTTAAGCTTTAGGCTAAGAATATTAAGATATCGAATTGGTGAAATGTGAGGATCAGCTCAGCTGAACACGTTTTTCTGAGTGGGGAAGGCTGTGGATTTAGAAATAAATACAATAACACACCAAGACACATGAGTATATAAAAGTGAGGATTGGGTGGGCATAACTTCTCTGAAGGAGAGGCTATGACCTCGAACTGACCTCAAGTTTATTCTTTTTGTTTTGTTTAAATAATTATTTATTTAATTTTATTTATTCACTCATTTATTTTAATTTGATCAGAGAGAGATACACAGAGAGAGACAGAGAGAGAGAGAAAAAGAGAGAGAGAGAAAGTGAGAAAGCAAGCCACCAGGTCCGGTACTCGAACTGTGGTCGGCCATGTGGGAGTGTCTAGCACCTTAACCACCATGCCACCTGCTGGTCCCCAAGTTTATTCTTTTAAAGGGCAGAAAATATGGTAAGAGGAAATGGAATGCAAAGGAAATGGAGAAAGAGGAAATGGAATGCAAAGCCAATTGTTTTGGGATATAAATTGTTTGAGGATGGTAAAAGGACTGGCACCATGTGATTTCTCTGATCTTTTGGGGGCAAAATCTGATAAACACTTGTAGCTTCATTTAACCTCATACTGCACTGCAGTATCAGATATCAGCAACAACAGGAAGATAACCAAGAATAATAGGCAGATAGCGTTTTTCTATCTAAATGCTCTCAATAGCCATTGCTAGAATAGTTCATGGAAGTGCATTTCTGCATGTGTTTAAAGGTCACTCTATGTTTTCTCAAGTTGGCTGCTCTCCACATAGAAAGATATCCATATCAAGACAATAAGAGGAACCAGCAAATGGCATAGTGGTTATATCACTGGATTCCCTATTTAAATCATATATTTGGAGGCCAGCAGGTGGCATGGTGATTAAAGTACAGGACTCCCACATGGTCAACAATGGTTTAAGTCCTGGACCTGGCAGCTTATT